TTTTTTCCTATTTTTATTTATACTTATGTAAGGAAATATATTTTGAAGTTGAAAACAATAGTATTTTGTACATCGAATATTGTCCAAATATAAAATATAAAGTTCGATTTTATAAAATATAAAATATTATATTTAAAATTTAAATATATGCCTAATTATGAAATAAGGTCGCATTTTTTTCCTATTTTTATTTATACTTCATGTAACGAAATATATTTTGAAATATATCGTAGGTGATGACAAAATACTTATATCAGGAAATATATCATACTTATGTAACAAAATATATTGTATCGTATATAAGGAAATATATAAGGAAATTTAATTAACTATATGCCGAGTATATGCATGTCATATATCATATATGTCATATATGTATATTTCTATCAATGGCATGTTGTGTAATTATTCTAGTTAACTAAGGTCTTTTAGTTAAAAGGTGTGAGAAGGCTTGTGGAGTTGCCACGTAGGAAATGGCATGCATGTAATAAACACATGAACTAAAGGTTTATTTGCAAAAGTTCTCCTCAGATAATAAGAAGGGGATCATTGTTGCGAGTGTTATAAAAAAAAACACACACACGAAGATTACTTAGACCAAACGTTTCTTCTTAGAGAAGGGTTTTCAGAGATTAATAGATATAGCTCTCAGCAAGGGGCGCCGCAGAAGAAGAAAAAAAAAACCCCTCTCTCATTCAAAGAAGGTCTCATCTAACCCTAATTTGAGAGAGAGAGAGAGAGAGAGAGAGAAAGGAAAGCTCCATTCCTCACACTGGAACCATACCATGGCCCATAGCGAGACCATCGAATTTTATTCCGGTAAGATCTCTATCCATCTTTTCTTAGCAGAAATTTGTTTGTTAGATTTCGATCTGTAGTAGGTTCGCTTACGCCTTGTCCTTTTTTTCTTTTTCTTGAAAGACAATGACACATACCTCTTCTGGAACATGGATGACGTCCCAGTCCCTGTGGATACAGATCTTGGTTCTGTTTCTAGTAATATCGAACGTGCGCTTTTTCTAATGGGCTTTGAGGGGTCTCTGACCATCATTGTGGATTGTAAGAAGCTCAAGTACACCGAAGAAGAGTTGTGGAATGCAGGACATATCTCATACTTACCCTTCTGTAAATTCCTCACAATAATTATCTCTTTCTTTGCTTCTATTTAATTTAGTGTGCATGCTGAAATAATTATTTTTTTTTGTAGCCGCAAAGGCTTACCGGGAAGGTCTTGTGCATCCTCCTGTGCATATGAGTTATTATATGCTGCTTATGGCAGAAGATACTGGACCAATGCATGCGAATGTAGCTGTAATCACAAATTCAAAGAGTGAACCAGATAGTGAGTTACATAGGGTAATGCACTGTTTGAAATCCAGAGGTCACAATGTTCTCCTAGTAGAGCCTCCATCTGATGATGTTGATCTCTTTAGTGTTGACTCTCTATTTAATAATTCACGACTTTTGGGTGGAGGAAAGCCTATATCCAAAAAAGAGTTAACTAGTGATGATCGGCGGCGTGTGTATTCCTGGGAACTTAAAGAGGATGAGGATGAGGATGATGATGTCAGCAATCTCTCCAGCACGAAGATGTTAGATTTCTCCGGTAATACCATTTCAATTTTTTTGTTTTTTTGTTTCATCTGTCATTTTAAAAATGAGTTGTAAATGGTATTTAATATCTCTCTCTCTCTCTTTTGCATCGCTCAGAGCCTGTCAGAAACATCAAAGGGGATAGGACAATCATCTTCTGGGATGCCATGGGTTGCCCATTCCCTCTTTCTTTCTCTCCTGATTTGATTTATGAGAAAATCAAATCACTTCTTTTGGAAAAAGGTTTTAGTGATAATATTATAATCTGGGCTTATGTCGATAAGTATCTGGGTGACAAAACGTGGGATTCAAGAATCTACTTTCTTCCCGGAGGTGAATTCCTAGCTTTTTCTTTGTGTGTGTATCTATATATATATATCACTTGCGTTGATGTTTTTTTCTTTTTTTCCAGGGAATGAATCCTCGAGACGTATCAGAATGGTAAATGACATGTATCTATTGTCGTGGGACTCTCCTCTGCGCAGTCATAAAGGAACTTTGATCCTAGTCTCGGATCACTTCTTATGTGACCCCCACTACAATGAGTTGTTTGGAAACATGAGGCACAGATACTACAATCTCATCTTGCGAGTTCCTAACTCGAGGGCGATCAGAAAGATATCTGATGAATGGCTACGTCCTCTACTTGGTATAGTAGGTAAACACTTTTGTTTGCATTAAACCTGATGATACTGATGATTCTGATCTTGGACGAGCTAGCTTATGTTCCGATCTTGCTTGTTTCACAAGATCTATTGTTGCATCCAGATATTTATATCAAAAACTCTTTGTTTTTATTATTGCAGCCAGAGTTCCAGAGTGAGCACAGCAACACATCAGAAATCCCTGATGAACGGCCACGGTCTCAAGCACGCACTTTGGGTATTGAAATAAGCGAAAGCTCAGAAGGACCTCTTCCCAAAAAGCCTAAACTGGATGCTGGCTATGAAAAATCTAGAATAATCTCCACCTCCTTAACATAAAAAATCTAGATATTGTTATAGAACAATCTAGATACTTTAGATAAAATAATCTAGATATTTAGTAAGAATTTTTCTAGATTTAGGATTAAAATATTTGAGATATTTCTACTTTGGAGGCTATAAATACCTCCATTCCCCTCTCATTTTGTATCATCAAGAAATCATCTAAGTTTGTAAGAATCATCAAAGTAATAAGAAGTTCTCTTAAGTAAATTAAAGATTTCTTCTTCACACAAAGTATTTTCCCTTCAAACACTTAAAACACTTTCTCCATCGTTACTAAAGTATTTTTCATTCCAACAACACCTTCCCAGGGCTAATGATACTGATTATTTATGTACCGATCGATCTTGCTTGCTTCACAAAATCTATTGTTGCAGCCAATTGTTTTATATCAAAAACTCTTGTTTTTATTTTCGGATTTTACGCTTTTGTTTATTATAAACTTGCAAACTCTGTTGTGATAAATTTTATTAGTCTTCCATCTTATTGGCTACACTGTTCTTGTTGCTGACCAAGGAGTTGCACAACATCTTGTAAGCTTATAGTGCTGAAAGCTTGCTCAAGAAAAAGAGAGACTTTTCTTTAATGAGAAAGTGCTAATATGTTGACATGGCTTGTGGCAAAGCATAATCAAGCATCCATTTCTTATTCATTTTGGTCAATCCTTTCACTCTTTTCTCACTAGTCTGTAGGCTCCTCACTGACTTGAGTGTGCTTCTTTCGAATCCATAGTTCCCGTCCCAACTAAAGAAGGATTTGATTCTCTAGAGAAGGAGAATGGGTGTTTCCGAACACGAGGAGGCTCAAATATGCCTCTAGAACAGAGGAGTTTCGAGCATAACCAAGGAAGTCTGGCTCCAATACTAATGGCAAGATCAAGGAAGTCGAATGCCAACCCCAGGTCAAGACAAGGAAAATGTCAAGTGTCAAAACCTCAAGGGAGGTCCAGGAACTCAATTCGTATGACAAATGCAAGGTCAAGAAAGTCAAATGCCTTCATCTCAAAAGAGTTACCACCAAGGCCAGGGGACACCAAATCCATTTACAAGGCCAAGGTCAAGGAAGTCAACACCCTCCTATCATATTGGTTATAGCCAAAGACAGGGGGCTCATCTCAAGGATCACCAAGCAGTTACAGCCATCGAGGGAGCAGTAGCCAAGGGCCATCAGTTTTTCAAACTTGATTATACCACATTTACTAACTTTCAGTTGCTAACAAAAGTTTGTGTGATTTAATTAATACCTAAATTTATATTTCACGATAATATGCCAATCAAATATATAACTGATGATTAAAACCATTTTATAGAAAAATAAATCCATATTCTATTTTGAAAATATAATAATTAGATTTTTAAATCATTTCAAGTCAATACTCTAAGAAAAACATAAATTTTCACGAACCTATGGCAATCAAACATATAACTTCTTTCGGGGTAAAAATATGTGATGTTTTATTATCGATTTATAATTGCTAATTTATCTTAACTAGTTACAAAAAGAATTCAACATTATATTTCGAAAATACATGTTGCTTAGATTTTAGAATTATCTATAGTATTATTTGAGAAGTGAATTTACTTATTTTTTCATGATTTTAAAATAAGTCATTAATTACCAAATTTTATTATTTAAAATTTAATGTATGTTTATATGTATATTATGATATCCATATCTTCTATATACTAAATCATAATTCACCTAGTCAATTATATGATGACACATAATTTTTATTTTATTTTTAAAGAAAAAAAAAGATAAGAACCGAATTAATACAAATAGAAATGTTGAATAAAACTGAAATAAAATACGAAGATCTCAAGACACTAAACCGTCCAGATATCCAACTAGGCGTCATGATCACCTGCAACGGAAGAAAGGGGTTAGCAACAGGGGAATCACTCAGTGAGGTATGAGATGCTAAACACGCAAAACACTGACTAAATAAATAGAATTCCCACTATAGAAGTTTAGCTCTAACATGAACAAACATAATGTCTAACGCATCACACAAAACAAACAATGCGCTGATGGTACATAGCTAGTCCACACACCCAGCATTCTCTTCATACAGATATACAATATCATAATTTGTGTCGCTAGTCCAGACATCTCTGAACCCCCGCACTGCACAACTATGTGTCGATATGAAAACGTGTCTACACCCCGCACCTCACAAATATGTGTCGCTAGCCCAAACTTCTTTTAGCTCCCACACTCCAATATGCGTCGATATTCCGGATGTCTCCGAACCCCAGCACTCATATACGTCGATAGCTCAAATTTCTCTGGCCCCGTACTCATACATGTCGATAGCTCAGATTTCTCTGGTTTGCATATTCATCACTTAATCCATATTTTATCATATATATTTATATGTATATAAGTATTTAACCATTTAACATCAATCAATCCAAACAATGGTTGAATCCTCTAGACTTCCTAATTCTGGTTTACATTTAATAACCTACCTACCAAACAAACTCAATTCATACAGACGGAACATGCTTCGAAATCTAAACTAAAATAGGAAGAATTTTACACTAGTATCGGGATTTACAGAATATACCCTCACCTTATAATATCGAAGAACCAAGAAAAAGACGAGATGACTTGCGCACCACGAAAACTGCAATGATCTTGACTTGTCGCCACGGCACACCAGATCGGAAAATATACAAAGAAAATGGATATAATAATAATATATAAAGCTAGGGTCAAGCATTACTTGATATATAAGAATAATAGTACAAAGGAAAATGAGACCGTACGCATGAGTTCACGGTTTACAACGAAGGTGACACAAGTGATCACTATGGTGAGAGAGGGGAAGCTTGGTGCACAAGCAAGAGGTGAAGCTTACCCTAGATCTCACTCTTCTCCTTGGGTAATGTACGTAAGAAAACTCCGGCAACACCGGTGACATGGATTGCACCTCCGGTGATGGCTCATGGTGGTGAGACGATTGCTCCGTCTTGCTCACGCTCTCCTTTGCTTGGCTCCGGTGGGATGAGGTGAGATGGTTCACGGTGGTGGAGGTGATTGCGTCTCGCATCTCCTAACAACAACGCACAGCTTCATAAAGAGGGAGAAGAGGCACGTGGGAATAAAGAAGGAAGGAGATGAAGAGTAGAGAGTGTTGATCAGAGGTGGATAACAATGGCATCAGCTATGGCTCGATCTAAAATAAGGGTGGCTGGCTTTTTAACGAAGAGTAAAGCATATATAAGCGTACAGGTTTAGGTCAGAAAATATTGGCCGGTTTGATTTAATAAATAAAAAAATTGAACAAAAAATCAAAACCCTAATTTTAGAGAGAGAGAGAGAAAGGAAAGCTCCAGTCCTCACTCCTCACCCTGGAACCATACCATGGCCGATAGCGAGACCATCGAATTTTATTCCGGTAAGATCTCTATCCATCTTTTCTTAGCAGAAATTTGTTTGTTAGATTTCGATCTGTAGTAGGTTCGCTTACGCCTTGTCCTTGTCCTTTTTTTTTTCTTTTTCTTGAAAGACAATGACTCATACTTCTTCTGGAACATGGATGACTTCCCAGTCCCTGTGGATACAGATCTTGGTTCTGTTTCTAGTAATATCGAACGTGCGCTTTTTCTAATGGGCTTTGAGGGGCCTCTGACCATACTGAATTGTAAGAAACTCAAGTACACCGAAGAAGAGTTGTTCAATGCCGGAGATATCTTATACTTACCCTTCTGTAAATTCCTTATTCTTTTGTAGCCGCAGAGGCTTACGGTGATGTGCATCCTCCTGTGCATATGAGTTATTATATGCTGCTTATGGTAGAAGATACTGGACCAATGCATGCGAATGTAGCTTTAATCACAAATATAAAGAGTGAACCAGATAGTGAGTTAGATAGGGTAATGCACTGTTTGAAAATCAGAGGTCACAATGTTCTCGTAGTAGAGCCTCCACCTGATGATGTTGATCTCTTTAGTGTTGACTCTCTATTTAATAATTCACGACTTTTGGGTGGAGGAAAGCCTAAATCCAAACAAGAGTTAACTAGTGATGATCGGCGGCGTGTGTATTCCTGGGAACTTACAGACGATGAGGATGAGGATGATGATGATGATGTCAGCAATCTCTCCAGCACGAAGATGTTAGATTTCTCAGGTAATACCATTTCAAATTTGTTTTGTTTTTTGATTTCATCAGTCATTTTAAAAATGAATTGTAAATGGCATTTAACATCTCTCTTTTGCACCGCTCAGAGCCTGTCAGAAACATCAAAGGGGATAGGACAATCATCTTCTGGGATGCCATGGATTGCCCATTCCCTCTTTCTCTCTCTCCTGATTTGATTTATGAGAAAATCAAATCACTTATTTTGGAAAGAGGAGGTTTTAGTGATAATATTATAATCTGGGCTTATGTCGATAAGTATCTGGGTGACAAAACGTGGGATTCAAGAATCTACTTTCTTTCTGGAGGTGAATTCCTAGTTTTTTCTTTGTTGTCTGTGTATATATACACACTTGCGTTGATGATTTTTCTTTTTATGCAGGGTATGAAGCCTCGAGACGTAACAGAATGATAAATGACATGTATCTATTGTCGCGGGACGCTCCTCTGCGCAGTCATAAAGGAACTTTGATCCTAGTCTCGGATCACTTCTTATGTGACCCCCACTACAAGAAGCTGTTTGAAAGCATGAAGTACAGAAGCTACGATCTCATCTTGGCAGTTCCAAGGGCGATCAGAAAGATATCAGACAGCCCTGATGAATGGCTACGTTCTATACTTCTTAAAATAGGTAAACGCTTTTGTTTGCATTAAACCTGATGTTGATGATTCTGATCTTGGACGAGCTAGCTTATGTTCCGATCTAGCTAGGTTAACACGATCTATTGTTGCATCCAGATATTTATATCACAAACTCTTTGTTTTTATTATTGCAGGCAGAGTTCCGAGTGAGCATAGCAACACATCAGAAATCCCTGATGAATGAATGGCCACGGTCTCGAGCACGCACTTTGGGTAGTGAAATAAGCGAAAGCTGAGAAGGACCTCTTCCCAAAAAGCCTAAACTGGATGCTGCCTATGAAACACCTCCCAGGGCTAATGATACTGATCATTATGATGTGATACGGTTTGGGTATCGAGACTCGTAGAGACAGAGATTAAAAGGAAAGTACTGATTATATTATGGAATAGGTAAGGGTTTACAAGGTTTGAGAGAAATTATAGAGTCTCTCCTCTCTTCATGAACATGATGCTCAAACTCTTGATACCCCTCCTTTACAAATCTCATTCTTATTTATACTATTAAGCTAACCCTTATCATCAGCACGTACTGATGAGCCTCAAGCATGTGTAGCCTTCCACGTCACTCCCACACATTCTTCATGACCCAACATCCCATGTGCCTTTGCTCCCTCCTAACCACGTCAATAATCCTTAACATTCTAGAATACTTACTCTCCAAGCATTTTCTTAAATGGGCCAACGTATCATGATGTTGGACGAGCTTGCTTATGTTCCGAACTTGCTTGCTTCACACGATCTATTGTTGCAGCCAGATATTTATATCAAAAACTCTTGTTTTTATTTTGGGTTTACGCTTTTGTTTATTTAAACTGCTAACTCTGTTGTGATAAATTTTTAGTACTTGGTTTCTCTCGTTGCCTTCCATCTCCTTGGCTACACTAGAGTTAAACAACATCTTGTAAGCTTGTAGTGTTGAAAACTTGTGCAAGAAAAAGAGAGACTTCCTTAATGAGAAAGTGCTAATATGTTGAAATGGCTTGGGGCAAAAGCATAATCAAGCGTCCATTCCTTATTCACATTGTTCCATCCTTTCACTTTTTTTTTCTCATTAGTCTATAGGCTCTTCACTGACTTGAGAGTGCTTCTTTCGAATAGTTCTTGATCCATACTTCCCGTCCTGACTAAAGGATTTGATTCTCTTGAGGAGAGTGGGTCGGAACAAAAGTGGAAGCTCAAATATGCCTCTAGAACAGAGGAGTTTCATTCATAACCAAGGAAGTCTGGCTCCAATACAATGGCAAGATCAAGGAAGTCGAATGCCAACCCCAGGCCAAGACAAGGAAAATGTCAAGTGTCAAAACCTCAGGACGAAAGGTAATCAAATACCTTTATTTCAAGAGAGGTCCAGGAACTCCGGTCGTAGGACAAATACAAGGTCAAGAAAGTCAAGTACCTTCATCTCAAAAGAGTTACAAACAAGGCCAGGGGACACCAAATCCATTTACAAGGCCAAGTTCAAGGTCATATTGGTTATAGCCAAAGACAGGGGCTCATCTCAAGAATCATCAAGCAGTTACAGCCATGGAGGGAGCAGTAGCCAAGGGCCATCAGTTTTTCGAAGTTAATTATACCACATTTACTAACTTTCAGTTGCTAACAAAAGTTTGTGTGATGTAATTAATACCTAAATTTATATTTCATGATAATATGCCAATCAAATATATAACTGATGATTAAAACCATTTTATAGAGAAATAAATCCATATTCTATTTTGAAAATATCATAATTAGATTTTAAAATAATTTCAAGTCAATACTCCCAGAAAAAAACTTAATTTTTCACGAAACTACGGCAATCAAACATATAACTTCTTTTGGGGTAAATATGTGACGTTTTATTATCGATTTATAATTACTAATTTATTTTAACTAGTTACAAAAAGAAGTCAACATTATATTTCGAAAATACATATTGCTTGTAGAGTTATTTATACTATTATTTGAAAAGTGAATTTACTTCAATTTTTTTTTCATGATTTTATAATAAGTCATTAATTAACTAATTTTTTTATTTAAAATTTAATGTATGTTTATATGTATATTATGATATCCATATATCTTCTATATACTAAATCATAACTCGCCTAATCATTATATGATGACACATAATTTTTATTTTATTTTAATGAAATAACAAAAAAAAAACAAATAGAAAAATAGAAAATGACAAATTGTAAACACACTACAAAAAAAAATGAGTGAGTTGTATCACTTAATTTATATCAGGAAAATAAGTGATACTATGTTACATTACTTATTTGTAAATGAGACAAATATTTTAAATTTCAAATCAGTTACAACAAGTGATGTAGTTATTCGTTAATTTCACATCAATTCCATAAAAATGATATATTTTTATAAAAATTGTATCGTTTTAACAAAATTAATTTGATTATATACATTTACATCAATTAAATAATTGATGTTTCTATTTATTTTGGTTGACATCACTTATTAACATGATACAAAATTTACATCAATTAATATTGATGGTAAATAAAAATTATGTAGCAGTATTTTTCTTTAACATCAGTTTGAGAAAATGACGTTACTTTTTCTAAATTTGCATCACTTTAATATATGGACAATTCTCTCTTAAAATATTTAATCTATCACTTAATAAAATTTAAATAAAAAACGTCCACTATTTAGCAAAGTAACCATTTGAACCAATCCGTTTAGGATGATGTTAACAACTAACGGTAAGTTGTTCCTATTATTATGGCTTTAATATTTTGTTCTTTTTATGGCTCAAATTTACCTTCATCTCAACAATTAAAGCATTTTTTTGTAGAGATATCGTGATTCTTATTTTGGTTTCTTATTCTCTCTTAGTTTCTTAGCCATTTCAAAATTTAGACTTACAAGAACATAAGAACATGTGAGAGTCTCTAGCGGTTTAGAGTGGGAACATCAACGTAAAAAAGTTGGTATGTAGTTAAGAACAATTTTCAGTAACGAATCAATATAATTTATAGGAAACATGATGATGGGTTTTGTTTTTTTTTTATACATGATTTGAGAGAACACCACGATCAACTAATCAGAATCGGATATAACATTACAGAAAAGGTATTTGTTGGATTTTCCTCCATTAGCCCAAACCCAAAGTTATGATCCATATTAAGAGCCCAAAAGAGAAGCATAAGGAGAAATAATTCTCTAGAATTATGGAGAAAAATAGAGAAAGTTATGGAGTAGAATAGTTAATGTTAGATATTTTGGATTAGGATAATAATTTAGAGAAATCTAGAACATGTTAGAAGTTTCTCTCTCACTTGTATAAATTTAAGTTCTCTTTCTAATCATAGCAAAATAGAGGTGCTTAGCATCATTTGTAACAATCTAGAATTAAGAAGAAAAACATTTGTAAGAGAGAGAGTTTCTAAAAACAAACCTTTGTAGTAAATCCCTTTCCAAAAGAGAAAAAGTTTTTTTCTTAAATTTCTTAGTTGTCTAAATCCCATCTTCATCTCACAAATAATATTGGGTAATTTCTCAACAAAGTGGTATCAAAGCCAGGTTCAACAAGATCCAGTGTGATTCAAGATGGAGGCTACCGTTACCGTTGAAGGTGACATGTTCAAACTCACGACGGACAACTACTCATATTGGAAACCGATGATGGAAGATCACCTTTACTGTAAGGATTTGCATGAACCCATCATCATGAAGGAAAAGCCGGAAGGAAAGGATGACAAAACATGGGAAATACTAAACCGAAAGGCGGTTGCTGTAATCCGTAAGTATATTGACCGATCTCTCTTTGAACATGTCTCTACCTACACAAATGCTTTTGAATTATGGACAAAACTTGAATCCATGATTCAAAAGAAAACGCCTCGAAACAAAGCTCTTCTTGTCCGACGGTTGGTAAAACTGGAGTACAAAGATGGCCAAAGCATGATGGAGCACTTGAATAATTTCAAGGGCTTTGTAAATCAGCTTAGCAAAGTTGATATGAAGATTGAAGACGAAATGCAAGCCCTTTTACTCCTCAGTTCACTACCAGAGAGTTGGGACACACTAGTTGTGACCCTAAGTAATTCAGCACCAGAGGGAAAGCTTATGGATACCGTCACTGATAGCCTTCTGAATGAAGAAGTTCGCAGGAAGGAGCGAGGTTCGAGCTCTTATTCAGAAGCTAACATCGTTGATAGACGAGGTAGGGAAGAGACTCGTGTTCACAACAGAACCAGAGGACGAGACCAATCTCGCAGAAGATCCAAGTCACGTCCAAGAGTTACCTGCTACTATTGTGGCAAGCCGGGCCACATGAAATCAGAGTGTCGGTTTTTCAAGAAAGATCAACAAGCTGGTAATATCAAACCGGACCGGTTCAATCCTCCGAAGAAGCATGAAGACAAGACAACCACCATTGTTGAAGACCAGAGCGAAGATTTATATCTTGTTGGAGAATGTAATCTTAGCTCTGATGATAGCTCATGGATCGTTGATTCTGGTGCTTCTTTTCACGTCACCCCTCATGGAAGCTTCTTCACAACCTACCAAAGTGGTGACTTTGGCAATGTTCAAATGGGAAATCAAGGAAGAAGTAAGATCGTTGGAAAGGGGGATGTTATTCTTACATCAAATACTGGATGTAAGATAGTTCTCAATGATGTGAGGCATGTTCCCGATATGCGACTCAATCTCATATCAACCGGAAAGCTCGATGATGCCGGGTTGGATAACCATTTTGGTGGAGGAAAATGGAAGTTAACCAAAGGAAGTTTGATTATGGCTCGAGGAAGAAAAGAAGGATCACTTTATGTGACACAAGCCAAGCTATGTAAGGAAGAAGTAAACGTCGCAAGTACTAATATGGAGATATGGCATCGAAGACTTGGGCATATGAGTGAGAAAGGTTTAAATATACTTTCTCGCAAGAAACTTCTTCCTGACATGAAAGGTACGTCTCTTTCACCATGTCATGATTGCTTAGCCGGAAAACAACATAGAGTCGCTTTCCGAAGATCATCTACACCTATGAGAAGGAAGAAAATCCTTGATCTTGTGCATACTGACGTATGCTCCATGACTGAGAAATCCAATGGAGGGGCATCATATTTTGTCACCTTTATTGATGACCATTCAAGAAAGGTGTGGGTACATCTTTTGAAGACAAAAGATCAAGTTCTAGATGCTTTCAAAGAGTTTGTAGCCCAAGCTGAACGAAGT